GTTGAATTTCGACATGAATTATGAGGCAAACATTGCTAATTCAAGTTGACTAAACAACTAGTGGGCAAACATTGGCTAAGTGGCTGGCGGCCATAGAGATTTGTGCGGATCGCACTAAATGCTTTAATGTATTTGGTTAGGCTTGCTAATCCAGTTCATAAAGGAATCAAGCGTGCGTCGTCTCGTCTCGTCTCGCCTACTCTCGCCTACCCGGGGCAATGGCTGCTGCACTTCCATTCGATTCGATTCAATTCAATTCAATTAAAAACCTAATGAAACGAGAGCTCAACTGATTTGCTGATGGTTAAACAAACAAAGCAATAAACATTCCGTCAGCCAGATTTTCTTGTCTTTGCCCTCCGACTATTTCTTTTTGGTTTTCTTTTGGTTTTTTGTTTTTGCCCAACACTCGTTCAGCGAGTATGACGAGGTATATTAGTTGGTAGCGTGTATCCCAATGGATGGAAGTCCGTATGCATTGAGGATTATCATTTACTGTTGCTGATCAGATCTTTCGCCCACTCCACAAAGTCAACTACATCCTCCCCATGACTCGAGCGAAGCGCGTATTGTGCAGTCGTTAACTCCCGTCTGTCGACTCGCTGTCAGTTATTTTATTTGGCTGCCTCAATTATTTGCTGTTGTTTGTTGCCCCCCTCTCTCCGTCCGGCATGCGCTCAATGCGGGCTGTTGGCGGATTCGGACTTTGGAATGCCGGCGCTGGCCTTAGTCCGGGCACGGCGTATATATATTGCCACAAAATATTTATTAAATTGTAAACATAATGAATAGGAGAGTTCTTTGTGAACGCAGTACACGAAATCAAAGCAAATATTCCCCAGGGCGCGGCCAACGAACATCGCAGCCAGGTATATTAAAAATGTATTGACATGTCGGCCATTTGGCCGCGGGGCAAACAGCTTAAATGTTCCAGCTAGCCGATTCGAACGAATTAATTAAGTGCGTAATCCCCTTTGACCAAATTGTAGTACAAGTCGCTTAATGGCATTTCACAATTTTTCAAATATATTTCAGCTCCTTTATTGCCAGCCTGAGGTGCGAGCCGTCGATGTTGCTTTTGTTGCTGTTGCTCTTGCTGTTGCTTTTGGGTCACCTTTAAGGTTGAACGGCTTGGCTTTAATGTCATCGATTTTCCGGCCATCCAATTATTTAGCGTTTAACTGGCAGCGTCAGCAGCAAGTGGACATCTCAGCTTTATCTCCATTTATTTGCCCTATTCCCGCCCAATGCTTTGGCCCGAAATCGAGCAGCATCAGCCTTTGCACGCCCACGATGAAATGAGCACCAAATTGTGGCACTTATCGCAATCAAAAGACGCTCAGATAGCTGCCCAAATGACATACGCATGGCACGGCCTCTGCTCTGCTCTGTCCGATGGCGGTCGACTGTGCGTATACGCAACGCATGCACAATTAAGTGGCAAAGAATTTCCATTTGAGCTTCAACTGGGCTGCAGACCGCAAACTAACTCAACTGGACGCAATTAAAACAAAGTAAAGGAGAAAGAGAGAGTGAGAGAGAGAACTAAAATACAACTATGCAATAGAATTCAATTAGCAGCAGCAACAAAACGGCAAAACTCTACTCAAAGCACAGACGGAAGTGACTTGAGCGAAAAATATATTTGCCATGCCAACAACTTTTATATATATGTATATACAGCTAGGCAACTGCATTTCATTATACATACATATATATGTATATGTATACAAATAAACTTATACATATAGACAATTTAACCAAGTGAAATGTTTATGTTGCGACAGATACGTCCATATCTGTAGTTGTACCCAGTTGCGTATGAGGGTTGCTCCAGAGCGAAAAAGTTTTAAATTTTAAATCTGTGTCTGACAGTATATACATACATGTATGTATATATTTAAGCCTTACATCGAATCATTCAGACATCGAATTCCCGGTATGCTGACTTTCACAATGTGCTTTCCCAGAATACCAACTGCTCTTTGTCTGCTCTTTGTCTAATAACAATCGTTATGATCCTACTTTAATAACGCTCTCGCTTAATAACATAATTTTACAGGGAATTTCCGGTGTGGTGCCCTTGGCAATGGCCTTTCCCAGAATGCCAATTGTAAGTCGCCTTCTCGTCGTCCAATGTCAATGGCTACGATCCTGCTCAATCGCCATCTCGCTCTTGCGCAGCAGCACGCGGGACCAGGCGCAGCCAAAGCTATGTTCGTCTCTCTCCCACTCTCGAAGTGAATCGGGTGCTGTTACCTAATAGCCGGGACGTTGTTGAGCAATAGCAATATCTGTCTCCCTCTCTCTCATGGAGAGAGTTGTAGAGGTTGGAAACGAGCAATGAGAAGCGTGCAGCTAAGACGCAAACTCACTCGGATAATATATTTTGCAGCAGCCATATGCTCAGCTTCACACTAATACAAGTGCAGCAGTGGCAGCCAATCAGAACTAAATAATGCATATATGTATGTATATTCCTTCTTCTGCACTACTATTCTAGTTTATCAATGCACATCTGATAAGCTGAAAATAATTTTGTTTGTATATTACACAATATTGATGCGGTTTCTAGCTGATAAATAATTCAATTATTTTCTTAATATTTAAGCCATGTCAATTCAATTGAATATTTCTCCATATGACATTCTGTCCCTTTTCCCTCTATTGTTTGCCATTTGGTGTAATTTGTATTGAATTACATTTTACCTTTGATATACGAAAACTATGCGCATATGTAGTCCCTTTCCTGTTGTTGTTATTGTTGTTGCTGCTGTGTGCCAATGTGTAAACATATTGCGTATACGACATGTGGCCTGGGCTATTTCATAAAAGGTCAATTGGCCTCAGGCCGGCAGACAGTTGCAAATGTGAAATGCTTTTGGATTGTTCTTCGGGTCCGAGTCCGGGTCGGCGTGGGGTTGGGCTCGAAGCCGGGGCTCGTTAAAAATTCAATAACTACGTTTGTATGAAATATTAAGAAACATTTGCCAGCGGCCAAACGAATGCGATTTGAATGTGAACAAAGCGCCAAGTTTTCGCAGCTTAAAGTGCTTAAAGTGGGTCGAAATAAAGACGATAGCCGCACAACACGACTATTATATCATGTTTGGGTTGAGTGATTGTTCCTAATGTGTTAAGTTGTTGTTGTTGTAGTTGTTGTTGTTATGTAGTTGTTGTTGCCTGTTGTTGATGCGTTGCCACAAAGAAATCAGTGAGCTGTAAGAAACGTCCGCCCTGGCAGCGTCAGCGGCAACGTTGACAATTTCGATTTAATGGGCGGCGCGGCGGGGCGTGGCACATTGCAAAATCAAGCATTTCCAGCAGCCATTTCCAGCAGCTCGGCAATTGCCCATTGCGTTGTGTTTGCGTTTGGCATGGTTTTTTCGTCTTCTTCTTCTTCTTCTTTTATTTTTAGGCGCTTCCGTTTCCGTTTCCGCGTCACTGCGCCGAGGCAGTGTGAAATATTTGCGGACCGAAACGCATAAAAGTGCTGTAAAACAAAGTGAGCTCGAGCCGGGAAAGTGGCAACTGGCCGAGCCTACAAACTAAACTTTCTCTTTTATTTTTATATAACTCAAAAAAAAAAAAAAAAAGGATGAAAATAAATAAAAATTGAGAGTGGCAAAAAAATCAAAACAAAAGAACAGAAAATGAAAATAACATAAAATTCGAAATATAAGAGTGTAAAGTAAAGCAAATAAGGGCTGCCGCACACCGAGCCTTCGATTCTGCTTGAGCTCATGTGAGCAGCCGCAGCGACGCGTCGCGACAGCAGCGCGTCAACGGCTGTCGTTGGGCTAAGGGCTAAGGGCTAAGGGCAAAGCTAAAGGCAAAGCAAACGCTAAGTACGACTTCGACAACAACAAAAATGACGAAAGAACTCTTCAGATAATCACACACATGTTCATGTGTAATTATAGATGTGTGTGTGTGAGGGTGTGTGTGTGTGTGCTTGTGTGTGTGTCCTTGACTTTGGCTCAAGCAGCCGACAGACAAACTTGTTCCCATGCGGTTTTACACACTGACAGCAGCAACAACAGCAACAACAGCTCAGCAAATCGATTGAAGTTTATTGCTCTTAAAGTTGCCACATAATTGCCACTCCACTATGTATGTATGTATGTGTGCATGGGTTAGCTGCGTCTCTTACGATATTCAAGTGATTCTTGGTTGATCCTTGGCTTCAATTATGTTCATAACAATTTTATTTTGCTTTCTATAACATTAATACAAGTTTAAGGATACATTTTGTTGTTGTTTGTTTGCATGAAATGTTTAAAGTGTGTATATGGTAGTGAGTGCATTTTTTGCAGTGTATGGGTTCATTTTCGTTCGTGTGTGTGTGTGTGTGTGTTGGTGTGTGTGGTGGAACTAACACAGTCCAAACAATTGGCCATGCAAGCGCAGAAGGCAGCGTCCTTTGTGTATACATTGTGTGTGTTGTGTGTGTGTGTGTCGAAACTTCCAAGTCACCCTAACCTGCCAAGCACAGCTAGGCCAGGCTCTGAGGTGCTTGAGCGAGTACGAATGTGTGTGATTTAGTGTAGTTTAAGAGAAACAAAAACTAAGGACGCGCCTTAAATGCGATTTCATGGCCGCATGTGGGACAATGCGGAAATGCACAACAAACAACAACAAATGTGTGTGGAGAGGCGGCAGAGGCACGAATGCAAAGAAGGGTTTGCTTCTGCCGGCCTGCAGTCAGTTTCGTTGTTGTTTGTTCGATACGTTATTGGAGTGACAAACTAATGGGAGTGTGCTGTGAGTATTTAGTGCAATATCTTTCTAAGATCGTGTGCTTTTCTCTCTAGAATCGTGTGGCGCGGTCGTATAACAGAAGTCGTATGCGTGGGGACTATGCTACTAGCCTATCTGAAAGCTGGTGGGGGCTTATGGGAATGTTGGAGTAGGGGTGTGTGTGTGTGTGTGTGTGTTTGTGTGTGTTCTATGATGATGGCTGGCACTTATGTTAAACAGTGTTAAAAGGTGTAGCCATCCTACGGTGCGTCGGGCTGCGTGTCGCTGGACTCCTGTGGCGCCAGCTCGTTTTCGGGCTCGTCGTCGTCAGTACTGAAGTATGTATCTATTATGGCATAGGCCTTCTTGTAGATCTCCCGGTTCTCATGCTGCTGCAATGCTTCCAGTTTGTCGAGACCGCCAAGCTCCTCGACCATGAGGCACAGATTCTCGATGCCGCCCAGCCGCTCGGCGAGCGCAAACAGATTGGACAAACCAGTCAGGACCACAGTGATTGTGCGCGGATCTTTGGCATCGAGCAAGTCCATAAATGGCTTCAGTATCTTGTAATTTTCGACCAGATTAATAATCTGCTCGGGTGTGCCCGAAGTGGTGGTATTGGCCACAGCCCAGGCGGCCTCCTTTTGTGCCTTGAAATCGCCCTTCGCGAGCACATGGCGTATTTGCGCAAAGATGCCCGCATCGATGACAGCCTGAATCTGTTTCCGATTGCCAGCCGCGATGTTGCTCACCGTCCAGGCAGCCTCCTTCACAATGTTGGGCTTCGAGTGCTGCAAGAGCTTGGCAAGCTTGGGCAAGGCACCAGCGGCTATAACCACATCGGTCTGCTTATCCGTTCCGGTCACAATGTTGCCCACGCTCCGCAGTGCCGGGGCAATGATGCTCGGCTCATCAGTCTGCAACAGTTGCACCAGACGCGGCACTGCATTCGTATCGACGACTGCCTGTATCTTGCTGTTTTCATCGTCCGTCACATAGGACAGGGCCCAGCAGATATCGGCCAGCACCTGTGCATCCTCCTGGGTGACCAGCAGCTTCGCCAGCACCGGCAACAGGCGCTTCACCTGGTCAAAGGGCGGCGACGGATTCTTGTTGCGGCACAAATTCGACATCAGCCAGACAATGTTGCGGAGAAACGACAGCGGCGTCTCATTATTGATTAAACGCAAAATGCCATCGATGACATTGTGCTGGATTACAATGTCACGCGCAGCCGGGCCATCGCCGGCAATGTTGCCCAAGGCCCAGACGGCCTGCTCGGCGAGATTAAGCGACTTCGACTGCAGCAGTGATATGAAAAGCGGCACGGCATTCTGTTCGATAACAGAACGTGTCTGTTCCGATGTGCCCGATGCGATGTTGGTCAGAGCCCAGGCGGCCTCAAATTGCAAAAGAGAGTTGCTGTCGTTCTGTAGGAAGCGAATGCAGATGGGAACAACTCCATGGTTGATCAACACATCAATGGGTGGATTACGCTCGCGGCTGAGCATTTTGCGTGTCTGCTGCATGCCCGCGAATTGGCGTTCCGGATCCTCACTATTCATGGCAGCGACGATTTCGTCCATCGACTTCCCCTTGAGTTCCTTCGACGGTGTGCTTACGTCCTCCTCAGTGACGTTGCGGCGCTTGAACAACTGATCGTCCTTCTTTGACTTGCGCAGCTCGATGGTCACCTCATGGCGGCGCATGCGCGAGTCCTGCGTATTGATGTTGTTGGCCTTGTACTGGCCCTGGCGAGTGTCTGCATCCGATTTATTCATTTTTGATGTAATTTTTCGTATGATTTTTCTATTTCAAACAATTTTAAAATGTTTCTGCTTCGATCAGAAGTGTACAGCTTATCAAATTTGACTGTGTTATAAAAAAGCAGTTCAAGCCTTGGCTACACGAACAAACAAGTCTAGCGTAAGAGCAAAAGCACACTAGAAAATCACAAAAAAAATAAAATTTTATAACTATGAGGTGAATGTAATAATGTAAAGTAAATACAAAATATTTTGTTTTCATTAAAGGCGCAATTTGATGCAAAAATTAAGATTTCTGTAAAAAAAAAAAAATATAAAAATTAAAAAAAAAAAATAATATGTATATATACATATGTATTGGTGCCTAATATTTTATTCTGTTTTCTATGTTTTCCAATTCTATTTAATTTTTTCGCTGATTGGCTCCCACTGGTGTTGTTGACTTTGTGTCTTAAGCCCTCGCTTTTTTTTTTTTTTTGTAAACGCTTGTTCCGTGAGCGAGACGAGGCAAAGATAGCTCGGGCTGAGCGATGACCCGGCTGTTGAATCACTGCAGGCGATGCTCTTCGGGAGTGCGAGAGAGACAAACATAGCTGTTCCTCAACGCAGTCCCGCATGCTGTGCAGCAAGAGTGAGATGGCAATTTAGAAAGGATCGTAGCGATTGCTATTGGACGAAGAGAAGGTGATTAACAATGGGCACTTTTGGAAAGCACAATGTATAAGAAAAGCACACCGGGAATAGCTAGTGAGTGAGAGTGAGATGGCTGCTTATGCAGGATCGTAACGAATGCCATTAGACGAAAATAAGCTGAGTTAACATATAGTGACATCTCTTAAGGTATTCAAGTAATTATTTTTTCTCTCTCTCAATATGCACAGATTAGATAAGGCTTATACATAACTTGGCTCTGTTTTGATTGCTTTCATTATATATTTCATGCTTCTGCTTAAATTCCATAATGAATTATTCACGTCTTTATCTACAATTTGATGGCCTGTTCCTTTTACTTTCCGTACAGCTGTGCAACATGCTAAATTGCTTTTAATTATCAAACTTCCCTTAATCAAATCAATCAATATTTAAACTCAAAAGTCTTTCAAGTATTTTGGTCAGAAAGCCCTTAGCTCGGCTCGATTTCCGTTGGGCATTTATAATCAGATGGCTTCGCAACAGGAATTCCAATATGCCCACTAACATTGGCAACTTGCCAGCAAGCACGCCGGCACACACACACACACATACAGCGACACAGACACACAGAATGGCAGTCATTTAAATACAAACAGCAATTTACGTGGCGCTAAAGCTTTTGGCCATTTAACTTTCAAGCCGAGCAACACAAACAACTGAGACTTTTACAAGTGCTTAGCTAAGCAAATACCCTGTATTTTGTTTACCCTGTTTAGCTAGAGATAAAATGTATTGCTCTGTGTGCTTACATGGTTTGTATGATAATCGTATTATCAATTTGGGATAAACAATGAAATTCAGTTCATCTTCTCTAACACTTTATAGGGTATATATAGCTCAGTTAGTACCGCTAGCCGAGCACTTGGCTATGGCCCAAGCTGCGCCTAACCGAAAGTGCAATCAATGCGCAGTCACGTTGCAATCAGACCTCAACGGCTACACGCTCGACTCTGCCGCTGCACCGCTGCGCTTGGCCATCCTGGAGGCGCGCCTAAGTGGCTGTGGATTGGGCTGCGGCTGTGGCTGTAGCTGCGGGCGTTGTTTGTGGCGACAGCACACACAAAGCACAAGGCACAGAGAACAAAAGTGAAATTGTTTTGCGATGTATGTGCTGAAGGTGCAGAAGCAGAGACCCGCTGCTGCTTCTGCTGCTGCTGCCTTCAGTTATGTCTAGAGAATGTTTGCCCAGCGGCAATTTCATATACTCGGCTCGGTTTGACTATGCGGCCGCCAAAACTATTTGACAAGCGTTTAAGGGCCCCTGGGCTCTGGGTGTGTGCTTAGCCAGCTTGTTGTCAGCGAAATTGGACAACGTTGAATAAACTGGAAATGCAATTAGATTTTGCCATTCCTCCGCTTGATTATCGTTGCCCGCTGCCACAGCTCGTAGGCCGGACTTGAAACATTTTTAATTGGAATATTTGTTGGCTCCGAGTTGAAGCTTGTTGCAGCTGTTGGCCCATTGTCCATGCGATTTGGTTTTGGCAACAGATTCGCCAAAGCGACGCATCCAGCTGGAATTGTTTTTAGCCATGGCCAACAAGTCTGGAACGTAATTAACAAATGGCATGTCTCTATCCAATGAAAGCACTATCTCTCTCTCTCTCTCTCTCTTTCTCTCTCCCTTTGTCTGTCCCTCTCTCTCCCTCTCTGTCTCTGCCCTCTCTAACTCTCCTACTGTACGCTCATTTCGAATGATTGCAGCAAAATGATTTACAGCCGTAAATAGCCCATTGGCCCATTGAACAGCTTGCTGTCAGCGCACAGTGGGATCTCCCCCTGCATAATCGTGGCGAAAATTAAGATTTTGATTCAAGTCATTGAATCATTGATTATTGAGAGGATTTATCAGAGGGCTAGAAAACGAAATTGGCAAGTTTTTGATTAACAAAATACACAAAGTTTTTTTTGCCTACATAATGTTCTATTAAATCAAATAATCTGTTTTTTTTTTTTTTTTTTTTTTTAAATTTTATTTTTTTTTTTTTTTTTTTTTTTTTTTTTTTTAAATTTGATTTTTTTATTTTATTTTATTTATTTTTTTTTTCAATTTAAGTCTTTAGAAGAACATCAAAGTAGGCTTATATTGAAGTGACTCAAAAGCTATAAAATTTGCAGTGCAAAATGAGCACGGATCCCACTGTGCGACGATGGCAAAAGGGGTCAAAGCTCCCAAAGCACACCAAATGCCAATGAATTGGTGCAGTTCAGTGGCGAAAGCACTCCAAGTGACACTCTTTAAATGCCCAGTTGCCAGTCGAAGCCAACGGCCATTGAAAAGCTGAAACAACTCCTGCTGCTTCCCAGCCGGCTTCAGCTGTGAACGACATTGCAAATTGTTTCAGCTGCATTGCTTCACTGCATCGGCTCCTTCCCAAAAGTGAAGCAGCCCAAAGGCTGTTCCAAAAACCTAAAGTTGCCCAAATCGGAATGTGCAAACTTTTTCGCATTCTACTGAATCGGCCACAAGGAATCGTCGTCTAGTTAACGCAAC